AGGGGGGCGCGGTTGCGCTTCGCGCGCCGCGGCCCGGGTCGGAGGGGCGCCCTTCTCCAGGGCGGCGGCGCGAGTGCGCGAGGATGGCCGCAGGTCGCGCACGCGGGGAGCGGCGCGCCAAGCTGGACCACCCAGATCCTTGGCCCCAGGATAGTGCATGGGTCTCCCGACCTCGGCTGGAAGGTCGTACGCAGTGGAAACCCATGCCAAGGGACACCCTGCTTGCCTCCAGGGTGCCCTGGGTTTCTTGGGTTTCGATGGTTTTGCTACGGAAAGCGTGACGTTCCCACACCAAAAATCCACGGACGCCCTAGGGTCCCAGAGTTAGGTTTCTTGTGGAAGGTTTCTTGTGGACTGGCCTCCAATGTACGCCTCTCCATGGAGCAAGCGGGTCCTGCGGGTAACGGGTCCTGAGGTCTCTGATCGCCTGCGGGCTTCTGGGGTCGTTCCGCTGGCCCGGGACCGGCAGAACTCGACCGATCAGGATGACGAGCTGGTTCCAGGGAGGTGCCCCTGGTCGGGGGCGGCCAGGAGGGGGGTGATGACTAGGGGGGGTGGATATCATGGCGGGGGGCATGATATCTGCCCAGATTTCATGGCGCCTCGTCTTGTTTCAATAGCGATCCTCCGAGTCCATCTACGCGGGCCCCATTTGGGAAGCCTCTGTGTTCGAGGCGGGTCCATCCGTGGAGACAGGAAGCCCCGAGGAGCCCCTATTATTATCAAATCGGGCGTGTCCCCTAATATTATCAAGTCGGGCGTGCTCCTCTATAGGAGGAGTATTTAAAATAGGCAAACGATACCGGTGTGTGCGAAATAAACGACCGTGGCACGCGGAGCGCGCCAGACGGTTCACAGTTGCCTCCACATGACAACCAGATCATCGCACAGCCATCGCACGCACGACATCGTTCGGTTCACAGTTGCCTCCACATCACAACCAGATCATCGCACAGCAATCGCACGCACGACATCGTTCGATTCACATGCCAACATCATCGCATCACAGCCTTTGCACGCACATCTTGGCAAGGAAGATGGTTTGAAGTCTCCCTCACCGCGGCTGGCAAAACATATCACAGCCTCTGCACGCACGTCTTCGCCAGGGAGATGTTTTCATGTCTGCCTCACTGGGCCTGCCCGAATCATATCACAGCCTCTGCACGCAAGGTCTCGCAAAGAAGATGTGGTCGCTTCTTTGTCGCCGGGCCTATCCCTCCCCCCTCCCTCGCCCGCCGCCCCACCCTCCCATCCTCCAGCCTCCAATTCAAAATCGTCCGCACTCGTCCG